GCCATGTGGATCACCTCAGGGGCGAGAATTAAACTCATGCCGAAGTGGCTTTAACTTCTTAGTGCAGTGCTTTAACCTGCTGTGCCACCAGGGAGGGCCCCAGAATTATACATTTAAACAAGGAATCATTTTACTAACTTATAGTTTCACAATGACCATTTAAATACACTAACTTTTTTTTTTAAGATTCATTTATGCATATAAACTGGGGTATAGGCCAGAGGTACAGGGACGGTGAGAGGATTCACCAGAGACAGAGTGCGGAGCAGAGAAGGCTGACTGACAGGTACACTGCTGAGGGAGCAGTGGGCAAGTCAGGAGAGGACTGCCATGCCATGTCAGTCACGGTTACCTCCAGGGCAGGGATTGAACTCATGCTGAAGTGGCTTTAGCTTTTTAGTGCTGTGCTTTAACCCACTGCACCACCATGGAGGGCCCAAATACAATAGCTTTTTAATAACCCAAGTTGTATACAAAATATAACAAAATTGTAAGGCAGGTAACAAAATTGTAAAAGATTTAAAAATTATATTAAGGCTAAAACACTACAAATAAGATTTTTTCAAGATTTCAATCATCTTGCCTTTACAAGCATGTTCAAGAAGTATTTGCACATGATCCTAGGGGACCTTTTCCAAAATCTTAGAAAATTTTGGGCTCTCCCTGGTGGTAAAATGGGCTAAAGCTCCGCACTATGAAGCTTCCAGAAGCCACTGCAGCACAAGTTTGATCCCCAGCCAGGGAGCTGACCCACATGGTGTAGCAGACCTCTCCTGACCCTCCCGCTGCTCCCCTCAACAGTGTGTTTCAGTATATCTGCCTGTTCTGTTTCCCACTCTGTCTCTCGTGAATCCTCTCACCCACCCACTAGGCCTGTCCCTAGTTCTGGAAGCATAAATAAATAAATAGTTTTTTTAAAAAAATCTTAGAAAAGTTTATCCAAAAAAAAAAAGGCCAAAAAAAACTATTGAATGCTTGTCTCAAGTAAAAATTATCTTCTGATTCAGTTGTAGCCAAAAGCTTATTTAAAATCAGTGGAAATTATAGATAGATTTTATGAATTTTGAATAATTAAAACAATATAGGAAATGAAGACACTATTAGGTTATAAAAATTATTCTAATAGTCAAGTGGATTTCAAATATATCCTTTCTTACAAACGAATACATACCTAATTTCATTTCATAGACTACAGGGCTGTCAGAAAATTAGGCACAGTGAGGAGGGTACAAGGTAAAGTCAAGATCTGGGCAACATCTTTCTGTTTCTCTGGTTATTAACCATCATCCACCTGCTAAAAAGTGCCGGGGAGAACATGGCTCTGAGTTTGCTCTCAGGTTTCGACAGCCTAGCTATATACTTAGTCCAGACTACATTTTTTGATTAGCATTAATCACAGAGTAGCTTTAAATTTCAGTTCAGACGTGAGGAAAATAAAGAATTCTTTCTGTGAGGGAAATTCAGAAGAAAGCAAGCCATTACCAATTCTGGAAAGCCTATTTTTCTAAAATGAAAGTTTAATGTGAAGTAATAAAATTCAATGCAAATATTACATTTTCAACATTTTTCTTGAATTTTAAAAGCACATTAGTTGACAGTGAAAAATAGGCATCAAGTCAGATGCCCAGCAATCAAGTAATGATTGTTTTTAGGATGTGTCACGTTTTTGGAAGAAGTGCACAGCAGCAACTAAATTAAACACTAGGAAAGCCCATTTAGTAGGTTTGAGAAATGTTTTTAATATAAATCAAAGTAATTCAGTCATGTGTACGTGACTTTCCATATATTATGTTCTCAATTATGTCAAAAATATGGATGCTTATAGAAAAGAGATTAGAGAATGGCAGTAATTGTTTTAGGGTGTGATATTGGGAGGTTTGTTTTTTTTTTTAATGAACTTTTTGTAAGATGGTTTTATTATTGTTAAGACTTAAAACTTTCAATTAAAAACAAACTTTCAAAATTATATTCATTTTACATGCCAATATGCCATTAAATTAGTTTTTATCCAATCACTAAGCAGCTTTTTTAAAAAAAAGCAAATATCCTTGTTCTGCGTAGAGACATTCTGTCAATTTTAACAAGGAAATTAATATTAATATTACCTTTTGTTAAGTAGTAAATCCACATATTTCAGATATTATTAAAATGAACAAAATTCCAAACAAGATATGGCCACATGAAAATTAGAAATATTTACTAATTAAAGCCAATTATATTCTCAATGTCCTCAGTAAAATATTTTCACAAAAAACTGACTACATTTACTTTTTTTTTAACGGCTTCTGAGTAATACTTTTAGCATTTTTATGTTAAATCTGACATTAAGTAAGGTAGAAATATTTATTTGGCCTCATGATAAATCATTATTTCTACAAAATTTGACCAGTAAATTTTGGAGGGGAACCAGTGTTCTGAATAAGAAATAGGGAAATTGAAAGACATCAAAGAAAATAAGAAGAATATAATTATAAGAGTGGAAGGAGTAAAAAAATACAAGAGAGGAAAGAAGACATTTTAGGCTTTTATCTAACCTTTCAGATTTGGATCATTTAATTCTGTTAGATTGCAATCTCAAGAATGTTTGTCAATCCAATGCTTTGTAAAGGCAAGATTTTTGTGATTTACTATAAACAGAATTCTGATAAAGAAATGTTTCCGTCTTTGCTATGTTTTATTTTCCCTCAATAGCTCTGGGAGTTGTAGCTTATGAAAAGCACCTTCGTATTTTGGTTCAGTGACTTTAGGTGTTCTGTGAATTCAACTTATAAATAAGTAATATAGACCTTGTTTTGTGATTGAAATGAGGGGCAGGTTTGGTTGACCCTCTTGATTTTCAAGCCCCTCGTGGTATAGATGATGTTCATAACCCTTTTCAGCCTCGTTCTCCTGTACTCTTTGAAGTAAACGATAATGCGTTGACACCCACGACCTGTTCTCTGCCAGCAGTTCTTGGGCTCTAATGGACGTTGCTTATTCGCAGAGGAAGGCACCTCTCTTGAACTCTGTCTCATTTCACTTCTTTTCCTTTCCATACACCTCTTAGTTTTCCCCCAGCATGTTTCCAAAACAATTTTAACATTTTACCACTCTCACGTTGGAGACACTCTTGGTACAAAGCCATTCTACTTTAAATGTAGTGTAATTATTACTTTTTGCCATATAATTTTAACTGTTTGTGAACAAATATTTAGAAACTAATCTATCATAAGTATTTGTTATCACATTTTCATCTGCATGTGTACATAACATGACTTTTAGGAACTGGTCTATTATAGATGGTTTTTAAAATTTTCTTCCTAAACTAGTTTTCTCACTTCTGACTTTTTGAATTTTTATCAATTGTTTTAAAGCAATTATGAGAATGTAATCCATATAATGGTGCCACACTATGATATATAACAGTGATCATTCTAAGTCAAAACTATTTTCTTTATAGTGGATACCATAAAATATCTGTTTCACTGGCAAATGTTTTTAAATAAATATATTTATTTACTTTAATAAATATATTTATTTTAATAATATAATAAATATATCTTCATATTTTTTACTCTAATCTTTCATGTTTCTCAAATGTGCTAAAGCATACAAAGTTTTGTTGTTCATGTGCATACAAAATAAATAACATACACGTGAGGTGTATATTTATAGAAGCCACTAAATACTTATACTTTTTTACACTTACACTTTTATCCTTTTCCTTTTTCAATGAAAATATGTTGACTATGAGTGACATTTTTCACTGTTTAGCAAAAGCTTCTAGTTTATTGGTATTATTTTGTGTTACACAAACATTCCACTGTTGAATATGAAGATATCTTTAAGTCTTAAATTACGTTTCTAACAAATGATCAAAGCCATAAGAAAGATAACCCAATAAGTATTTTTCCCCCTAGTAAATTAATAACATTTAGTTCTCATGCTAGAACTCTTTTATTCAAACTCTGTCTCCATTTTGCTGCAGTCTGTCTAGCCTTTCATTAATTAAAGTCCTTAGGGGAAGGTATGTACCACATTGATTTATCTCTCAGCTTTTTTCTTTAAACTTCTCATTTTGCTTCATTTTTTTTTCCTTCTGAGCTATTTTCTGATCAGACAATAATTTCCTTTGGTTTCTCCCTGATTCATGATCTTTTTTCCTCAATTCAAACTAGTGTGTTAGTGTTTCACATGTAAGAGCAACATTTCTTCCCCAGAGAATAATACATCTGCTAAACCAAAGAACTATACCTACAAACTAAGGTTTGCACAGTTTCAATAAATTACATGACCCTGTTGGAGCAAAGCTCCTTGTCTTTTCATACCATAGAAAAATAAGTACACACTGGGGAATCAAATACTAGTGTATTTGATTATATTAGGAATAGCAGACTAATGTAAAGAATGGACTATGCAGAATCCTATTTCTTTCATGAAAAATGAGCTTGCCAATCAACACCTGTGTGATAAAATAAAAAAAAATTTATTGACATTTTTGCAACATCATTCTCTTAATCACTTCACACATTTGATAGAACATTGAGGCATAAACCAACTCTCAGTCACATTTGTGTTTTATGAAGGTTGTTTGATTACCATGGGCGTGTGCCTCCCCCTCCTCGGGCGGTCATCCCACTGAAGCGCCCCAGAGTGTCTGTAACAACAACTCGCAGGGGAAAAGGAGTCTTTTCCATGAAGGGGGGATCAAGGTCTACCGTGAGTGGGTCATCTTCATCAGGCTCTAAATGTAAGTAATGTTCTTTACTTTGATTTCCTTTTAAAAGACAATGGGGGCAATTATTATCTAAGTTAAATAACTCAACAAATAATTATGGAGTGTCTGCTATCAATATGCACAAAGTATCAAACATATATAAATGTATGGTACTATGTATGAGGCATCTAAATAAATAGATAAGAAATGTTCACTACCTTGCAATGCATTCCACTGCCGTAGGGGAGACACAAACATGACTAACAAAAACCAAGGCCAATTTCAAATATTTTATCAGTGCAAATAACATGTTCTAAGCCCATTTATCTTGTGAGGTGTTAAAGTCCTAAAATATAAATGTTGCTTTTAGGAAAGAAATGGTTTCACTTCAGAAGCCATATACTGTCTTTTTAGAGAAACCCCATACAAATTAGTGCATGTTTTAAATATTTGAGCAGTAGAATTATTAAGTAGACAAACAATACAGTAGCAATGTTAAAAGCATAACATACCATTATACATTAAATGATGATGAGAGTTTGTCTGAAAACAATGTGTCATAAAAATATTTATATAACTTTACATCAGTGCAGTAAAAAAATGGAGGTTTAAGCCTTCCAACTAAACGCACTGCTAGATTTTTATATAAACTGATCCTGAAAAATTCTGATATGCTATTAGTATACTATTCCTAAGTACAGATGCTTTAAAGTAAATCTGAGATAGTTTATACTATATCAATAATCATTTGCAACTTTGGATCCTGTAATATCTTTGCTACTCAGGGAGGATGTAAATAAGAAACAGGTAAAAATATTAAATAAATTGTGGAATGAAAGTATTTTATAAGGACCATCTAGCAAAATAATTATTTGAAATTTCTTGTAGGCATAGTAATTCTCAGATTACATTAAGTTTAAATAAGATTATTAGTATAGAGAGACAATACTGATAATTCTATATATGTTTCACATAATTTTATGTATTTAGAAACTCACTTCACAAAAATTAACTGTATTATATACTTTACTGAACTTTAATTCTAAACAAGATTTATAAACAATTCATTGGCAAGAATAATTAAAATCATGATTTGACATTCTCTCCAAAAGTATTTGCAAACTATGTTATAGATATTTACACACATATATACATATATGTACATGTATATATAAATATTCATGATTTGGTAATACTTTCAAAATTAGCTTAGTGTCTGAGAATAGCAATAAATTTCAAATTCCAGTCACAAATGAAAACTTTGTGTGAAGTGTAAAATAAACTGTTAACATTGGCTTAAGGGAATGAATATTTACTGAGGTATGTATCTTGCTCTTTTATTAATAGCTGTTTTCCAGTGTTTAATTACTTGGTAAGTCCAGAAGAGGAAATTAATGTTATAGCTTGTACAATTTGTCATTTCTTATTTCAGAATGTTTAATGTGACTAAATTAAACTGAGGAGAAAAGCACTATAAAGAAAAATTATATTAGCACAATAATTTGTCAGAGCTGAATCCTGATGAGTGTTTAAAAATAATTGCTCTTTTAAAACATAGGTTACCACTAAGTATTTCTGATACTTTTCAAATCAGCTTTAACTGAACTTTAATCAATTTGGCCTATACAACATCATGGAATAAAAAGATGGATGTGATATCACTAATAAACACTTTACAAAAGAGAAGACATCAATATACATATAAGCTTTAATTTCTTAATCAAAAAATTGAAAAGATTCCTATAAAATCTATTTATTTAAATTATTAATTTCAATACTAATGTCAAAACCAGAAAAAACTCTGGTAAATTTTGATGCCTTTGAGGTTCAGTCAATGCATTTTTGATGACAGAACACATGACGGACTAACATAAAAACCCTGCAGCACCTAACAGGAAATTAAAGACAGCTCACTTAGATTTAAGATGCAGTTTTTAAGAATTTATCCCCAACACAACTGAAATGCCATTGTTAGGACTGGGAGTTTTTTCCTCCCTAAAAAGTATGTTAAATATGGAAACAAAGCATCAGTCATAGAAACAGTGTCAACCTCCAGGCAGATATCATTAAACACCACCATCCATCCATTATCTGAGGCAAAATATGTATTCTGCTTTTAGGTTTTCAGAAAAGATATTGATGATTTAGATAAGGCTTTATAGAAGAAATGAAGTTGAGTTTAGAAAGGTAGACGCATTAGGAAAGATAGAATCAAAGCAACTCCTACTTTCCACTTATATAGCTGGAAAAGAGCAGCTTTGCCATCCAAGTACATAGGGTAGGACCTCTATTCCACAGGCTCGCTGTCATTGTGACCTTGGGGAGTTCCTTTAACCCTATAGGCCTCTATTTTCTATCCAGGAAATAGAAATAATACTATGTACCCAACAGGTTGTTGTGAGAATTAAATTACTTATGTATGTAAAGTACTCTTGTAGGTCCTGACACTAGTGAGTGTTCAGTGAAGTTTAGTATTAGTATTAGTATTAGTATAGCTCTGTATAGAAGTAAAAACATGGAAATGAATGTACTGTAACTGGAATCCAATAGTAACTGCTTACTTGGGGACAAGATACATTGTTGCTGTGCCTTTCATCAAATTGTAGCCTCATCATCAAATTCTAGCCCCCAGATTGTAAAAAGACTAATTTCTATAATTTAAGTCACCCAATCTGTGGTACTTTTTGATGGCAGCCCCTAGCAAATGAACACGCCATTACAAAAATAATTAAACTTCTTTCTGAGCAGGTAGTATTTTGTTTCCCTGTCTATAATGTAAATGACCATTTTAAACCTTCTCCAAAAGTCATTTTAGGGATTAAATGAGCTAACACGTGTAAACTTCTTAAAACAAAGTTTCATGTTATGAAAGTCTTAATAAATAATAAGCTATAATAATAAATAACTTATTTAAAGGAAGGATTTGTTGCTAGGAATGTCAGTCATGAAACTGGATATTACGACTTAACAAAATGAAAGATAAGGTCCTGGGATAATGAAAATCTGTGGAAAATATAGAAGAGATTGGATTTCCTTCAGAGTTAAAGGGAAGGATGCTCAACAAAATACTACCTGCTCAGAAAGAAGTTTAAATTATTTTTGTAATGGTGTGTTCATTTGCTAGGGGCTGCCATCAAAAAGTATCACAGATAGGGTGACTTAAATAATAGAAATTAGTCTTTTTACAATCTGGAGGCCAGAATTGATGATGATCTGCTGTATTACTTTCTTCAGGGGACCATGAGGGAAGGGACCACATTAGCCTTCTCTTTCTGGCTTGTAGACAGTCCTTTTTATCCATGTCCTCACATTAATATCTCTGTGTCTATCCAAATTTCTTCTTCTTATAAGGATATGGCCATATTGGATTAGATACCTCCCTAATGACACCATTGTATCTTCATAACCTCTTTAAAGATCTATCTCCAAACACAGTCACATTTTAAGGTACTAGGGTTTTGAACCTCAACATATGACAGTGCAGCCTGTAACACAAGGGTATGTCTGTATTAAATCTAAACAAAGTGTGGAGATGTTGGCAGTCGTCAACTCTTTTTAACAGCCAAATTCATGGATGTTAATTAGTTGAGGAGGATGATATTCAGGCCCTTCTAACTCATTCTAGAAAAATGTACTGAATTTCTTAGGTGCATGTGATTTCACTGTCTGAACACTGGTGTGTGTGTGTGTGTGTGTGTGTGTGTGTGCGCGCGCGCGCGCGCGTGCGTGTGTGTGTGTGGTATCATGGTTTAACTAGGGGAAAATTAAAGTGAAAATGATAATTCTTTAAAATCCACTTCACAGCACTCTCCCCCTTCAATGGACTATAGAGGAGGACTGTGGGTATTTTGGTGGCGGGAGGGCAAGCAACCATACATGGGGAGAAAACCTTATACTGTTAATATATGTATATATATTATATATATAATGTATATATATAATATATGTATATATATTATATGTACATGTATATGTATATTAAGATTTGTTTATTTATACAGAACGGGGATACAGGCCAGAGATACAAGGGAGGTAAAAGAATTCACCTGAGACAGATTGAGGAGCAGAATAGGCATATTGACAAAGTATACTACTGAGGGGAGCAGTGGGAGAGACAGAAGTCTGCTGTGCCATGTGGGTCACCCCCTGGCCAGTGATCAAACTCATGCTGAAGCAAAAACTGTGACTTGCTTCATAGTGCTGCACTTTAACCCACTGCACCACCAGGGAAGGCCCAACTGTTAATACAATAACAAAAATATAGAACAATTTTTAAAAAGATTCTTGGGTGTTAAAATTTAATAAAAATAAATTATTTCTCTCCATAAACAAATACTTGACAAACATTAGTGGTCTTTATTCTTTTATGAAGGTGACTGAATTAAAAATGCTATGGTTCCTTAATTCATAGTGAAGAAAATTTCAAGCTAAAACTGACATGCTTGCATGTCAAATGGTGCTGCATAGAATAATAAGTATAGAAGTTATAGTCAGAAGGATTAAGTTTAAACCTGAGCTATTCCTGTTCAGATTAATACATTATACACAGTCATTAGATGAGTTACACAATGTCATGTAATTTGTCAAATTCTCAACTTCTTTACCAATGAAGTCTATATTAAAATTGATTGAGAAAATACACATAACTTCTGTGTAAATCATGTGCATTCCTTTCATTTTGATATTTAAATAATTTATCAAAGATGGAGAAATGAGCAAAAAGAGTAATAAATTAATGTGAGTTGTTAAGGCCAATGTAATTTCAATGTTCTAAATCGTCCACAGGATTATGTCAGTGAATGACTAGGGTTTTTTAATTATGGCTTAACCCTGCTGACATTTTCAATCAGATATTTATTTGGTGGGGAGTAAAAGGTAGCCTGTCTATTGTAGGGTGTTAAGCAGAGACATACTCTCAAGACTCCTGTAACTCCACCCTCTCCAAATTGTGAAATTAAAAAATACTTCCATATGTTACAGAATTTCCGCTGCAGTGCAATATTACTTTCTGTTAAAAAATTACTCACCTAGAC